TTCATTACTACAGATCGTACTTTGTTGATTGATTTCTTATACAATCGTATCATATTCTTGCCGGTGGCCTGATTTTTATTTGAAAACTAATTTTTGAAAGAGTTTCTTATTTCAAAAATATATTTAGAAAAAATAACATTGAAAAAAAAATATTTTTATGAAATTAGTCAAATGACTTCAAAAATAACTTTTACATCTTAAAATTCTTTTTAAACTTCTCAAAAAATCATGCGAAATGGATATGAGAAATTTTTCCCCAAGTTGAGACCTACTAAAACAAATAGGTTGAAAACGTTAATGAATTGGAGAGTAATGCTACAATTCGATGGTGAGGGAATGGAGAAAAATCATTGCACCTTCCCCATATAATTCACACAAGTAAAGGAAATCCACTTACACTATGATCAATCACGGTAAATCGAATCTCCTTTCCCATGAGCACTCATTCCAAAAATTATCCTCAACTTTTAATTCAATCAATCAATCAAAATATAGTAAACAAATCTTCTAAAATTAAAATATTTCTTAAATTATATTCGGCATTAAAAAATTTAAAATTATTGCTTGAATACCAATTAATATTTTTTTATAATCTTTATTATTGTCGTGTTTCATACTTTAGCATCATCAATTCAACTTCTGGACTAAAATGTCATTTGCATATTTTTAAAATAACAAATATATAGCCCGCGTTAGGGGTCAGCTTAAAATCCAAATCGAATCTAACGATTAGTCATAACTTATGTTTAACACCAATCTAAGAACAATATTTGTGACATTAAATTACAAGTCCAATTAAATACAAAAATGAATAATGCCATCTAATACTTGTAGTGCTGAATATCAGCATATCATATTTTCTAAGAAATAAGTCATAATTTTTTTAATTTAATTGAAATTATAATTTAATGATACAAATACTGTTATCTAAATTTGTGTTAAAAATTAGTAGTATTGAATAATATTAATAGAACTTATGATACACTAAGGCCCTGTATGGGAGGGATTAAAATCGGATTAAAATTGAAAATATAGTCGTTACTGTTGACTTTTATTAGACGAGTGAGACCCAATAACGACCATATTTTCAATTTTAATTGGATTTTAATCCCTCTCGAACGGGGCCTAATACTCACTGGTGTTGAATTTTATTATTCAATTTTGTAAAATCTATAATATTTTAATCAAAATTTTTTTTTTTAAATCAAAATTTACTAAAATGGAGGGAGGAAGGTGAAGGTGTAGGGTGGAGGCTGGGAAGCATCCCAAATGAACAATTCAAAGAAAGGAATTACCGAATTACGAAGCAAACACACGCAATGGGTCCCTCGATCACGTCCAAATCAATGTACAAACATCACAGCGCTACGAACAACACTTGTTCAAACCAGTATCATTCTACTCTCTCTCTCTCTATTCGTAGTAGCGTTTTTGTTCATCCGCCATAGCCATTTCATTTGAAAACTTCTCCTTTCTTCCCTAAAAACCAGTCACAAAACCTTACACACCCCATACCATACCCTACCCTATCCCAGCCCCCACTCCATTGGCATCCAAAGAA